TGGCACAATAGTTTTAAATTTAGGTTTTATTTAAGGTTTCATACAATCATTTAATGTTTAATATATTTGTAATATGTATATGTAAATATTTATTAATAAACATGGTTTAGCTATTTCTTTTTGAGATTAGTTTGTATACTCAGTCTTCTCTTAATACAAGAAGTATAATCTGAATTAAATTTTGTACCAATCACTAGTTTTCGTGAACTGCACAACTGGCGGAGGATTTTTCTAGTTACTCTGAAGGATCCAACAAGGAACTCTTTACTGGTGACATGTTTGTTTTAGATCAGGTATAATTGATTTGGTCCTTGTTAAGGCCCATGACTTGGACAAAATCATTGGTGAAGAAGTTAAGGGGCTGGAGGCCTCGAAACTTCCATGCTCAAGGGCCAGGGGACAGTATAAAATAGTGTAGGACAGTATTTCGGGCCACTTTCTCCAAGCCCAATACTCAACACGTGGTTGGTCCATTAGACCAAAATCTGAAACACAGGCTTAGGTGCCTTAATAGGCCGCCAAACACAAAAAAGATTTCTAGTGGCCTACCATCAAACCATCATTTTAAGGGAGGTCACAAATACAATGAAGTTTTTTATTATATATATATATATATATATATTTTAGGCTGTCATAGTTTTTTTAGTCAGCTTTTGCGAATCTTATAAAAAGTAATTCTTAATTTTAGATAGGATGTTTACCTATTTAGGCTGTCATAGTTTTTTTAGTCAGCTTTTGCGAATCTTATAAAAAGTAATTCTTAATTTTAGATAGGATGTTTACTTATTTAGCAAATTATAATCATCTAAATCTTTGTTTAGTTTTGTTGCTGTTTTTGGTTTTTGATTTTAGTTGCTAAAAATTTAGCAATATTAAATTAAAATAAACAATTTTAATAAGGTATAAGTTGGAGTAAATTCATGTACTAATTCACTTGTATTAAGGTAAGATCTGTTGTGCTAAGGGAAGAGAAAAACCCTATTCATAAGCTGAGAAACCTGCACCGCATCATGACAAACAAGTGCAAAAGAGAAGGGACCTCTGCAGAAGAGATGGAATGGAAGCGACCAGGAAGGAGGAAAGGAATGGGGAGCCGCCCCACTTAAGGTAACCACAAACCTCTACACCTCCATGAAATTTTTTTCTAAAGGAAATATATTAATAATTAATACTTTTAGATTTAGCACACATCAATTTGAATTAATTTAAAATATAAACTATAGAGAGTAAGCCAAAGTTGACTAAGAGCATTTTGGCAGACAATAAGATACATCCACTAATACTATATATGTTTTAAAATTAATAAGAAAGCATTGTACAAAAGATGACCATATCTAGGGGAGGTGGCAAGTTTAAAAACTTATAAATTGTAATTAAGCAATAGAAATATTATAATCAAACGACTCGCAAGTAATGATTATAGTTGTGGGGTTAAAATTTTTGAGTTCAACACATAATAGAATTAATTTTTTTTAAGTATATTAATTTAATATGGGAGATGCACATTAAAATTATTTTAAATTTAATTATTTTCAAAATATATAAAAATTATTATAAAAATAT